TTGGATCTTATGCTAGCAAGATGTGAGAAGACCAACCTTGTTCTCAATGGGGAGAAGTGTCATTTTATGGTGAAGGAAGGCATTGTGTTAGGTCACAAGGTCTCAAGGATGGGGATAGACGTGGATAGAGCGAAGGTTGATACCATAGCCAAATTACCACCTCCAACAAATGTCAAGGGGGTAAGAAGCTTTCTAGGTCATGCAGGATTTTATAGGAGCTTTATTAAAGACTTTTCCAAGATCCCAAGGCCCTTGACTCAACTTCTCTTGAAGGATGTTCTTTCAACTTTTCTAAAGAGTTTCTTAATGCATTTCATTTGTTGAAGGAAAGATTGACCACTACACCTATTATGATAGCTCTAGATTGGAGTCTTCCTTTTGAGCTTATGTGTGATGCCAGTGATTTTGCGGTGGGAGTTATTTTGGGACAAAGAATTGACAAGCATTTTCAGCCTATCTATTATGAAATTTTTACCGACCATTCTGCCCTTAAGTATCTTTTTGATAAACAAGATGCTAAGCCAAGGTTGATTCGTTGGGTGTTGCTGCTACAAGAATTTGACATTGAAATACGAGATAAAAAGGGGATGGAGAACGTGGCTGCCGATCATCTATCGAGACTACAAAACCTGCACTTGGAGGAGTTAGAAGAAAACAAGATTGGAGATGAGTTTCCAGAAGAATATTTATTGGTTATAGCAGGAGAGATTCCATGTTTTGCAGATATAGCTAACTATTTAGCAAGTGAATACATTCCAAACGACTTGAACCGCCAATCAAAGAACAAATTCTTTTCAGAAATTAAGTATTACTTTTGGGATGAGCCATACCTCTTTCGTAGCTATGCTGATGGTATGATAAGAAAATGTGTATTCGGGAAGGAAAGTCGTGAAATCTTGAATCATTGTCATAGAGGGCCCACCGAAGGACATCATGGAGCGCAATATACAGCGAATAAGGTTTCTGATTCGAGTTTTTATTGGCCTACTATATTTAAAGATGCTACAAAAATTGTCAAAGAATGTGATTCATGCCAAAGGTTAGGAAATATTTCATCACGGAATGAGATGCCCCAAAATAGCATTCAAGTTTGTGAAATATTTGATAATTGGGGAATCGACTTCATGGGACCTTTCCCAATGTCAAAGGGAAATAAATACATATTGGTAGCAGTCGATTATGTATCCAAATGGGCGGAGGCACAAGCATTACCCACGAATGATGCTCGAGTAGTAGTACGTTTCCTCAAAAAGTTATTTTGAAGATTTGGAGTTCCTAAGGCTCTAATTAGTGATCGAGGCTCCCACTTCGCAAATGATTAGTTAGCTAAGGTGTTGCAAAAATATGGTGTTCATCATAGATTTTCAACATCATATCATCCTCAATAAAGTGGACAAACTGAAGTTACAAATCGGGCATTGAAGAGAATATTAGAAAGATCGGTTGGAAGTAATAGAAAGGAATGGTCGGATAAGCTTGATGATGCACTATGGGTGTTTAGAACAACTTTCAAAACATCTATAGGTACTAGACCATAGGTTGGTTTATGGGAAGAGTTGACACTTGCCAGTTGAGATAGAGCATAAAGCATTTTAGGCTTTGAAGATATGTAATTTTGAGTTAGATGAACTGCGTGCCAACCGGTTGATACACATGAATGCTCTCGAAGAACTTAGAAACGAAGCCTATACAAGTTCTTTGATTTATAAAGACAAAACTAAGAAGTGGCATGATATGAGGCTTAAAGGTAATAAAGAGTTCCATGAAGGACAAAGAGTGCTACTTTTCAACTCAAGGTTGAAACTGTTTCCCGGTAAATTTTAAATAAGGTGGGACGGGCCATTTGTTGTCAAACAAGTTTTCCCACATGGAGCTACTGAACTTATTTCAAGAGACAGGATCCCTTTCAAGGTTAATGGGCATCGAGTGAAGAATTAAGAGGATGGAATGTTAAGTGAAGAAAGGGAGGGTGAAATCTTCAAATTCATACGAGCAGAAACAACGTAGCTTGGGAAGGAGTCCAACTCATGACTCCTTCAAAAGAAGCGCTTGCAGGAGGCAACCTTTGGTTTTGAGTTTGCATTTTTTTTTCTTTACTTTTATTTGTTTTTTTAGTTTTATCTAGGTCCTTATTATCTCATTCTTCTGGTTTATCTATGAATTCGTCATGGGGTGTGGCAATAAACGAGTGTGGGGTGTGTATTTTTAAGTGTTTTTGTTAAATAAGAAAATTTTGCCCACCACGAGGTGGTGATTTCTTTTTCACGATTTCACTATGATAAAAACCTCAACACCATGACGTGTGGTATTCTACCACGTCGTGGCAACAAATATAACTACTGTCATTAAAGGATTTTTAAACTTAAGTTAAAACATTTTCACTTTTTACACACCCCATCTCTCTCGTCGTGCCAGCTTCCATGAAGAACTCTTTTTCCTCTCCATCGATTTCGTGTTCCTTGTCCCCAAAAAGGTATGACTTTCTTGTGATTTGCTTACTATTGATAGTGATTATGGTATTATAGAACATCTATTTCTTAATTTGAACACATTTAGGGCTAATTTTGGGAAACTAGGTGTAACGACCCAATTTTCATGACCAAAAATTTCATTTTTGATTAAGTGATTTGCACAACATTTGTGTCAAAATATCAACCGATCATATCATTTAATAAAAGCATGTCTCGTATCTAAAAACCGAATCGTAAAAACATAATAATGTTAGAGTACAAATCCCAGAATAACTCATAATGCGGAAAACAAAGATTGTGTGTATGATGTGCCGCTACCGCGCTAGCTCCTTCCCCTTCGCTGAAGAGGTACCTGAAACCAAAACTGGAAATTGTAAGCACGAAGCTTAGTAAGTTCCCCCATCATAACACATACCATACAATCACATAGCATACATACTGTCGGGCAATTCTGGGGTGCCCGACCTACCCGGTACGGCCCTTCTGGGGTGCCGACCTACCCATGTCAAGCCATTCTGCGGTGCTGACCTACCCATGTTGAGCCATTCTGGGGTGCTGACCTACTCGTCGGTCCTAACAACCGACCCTCGGAGACTAATCCACCCCTACTGCTGCTATCACATATATCATAACATAAACATACTATCAGACATATCTGGGGTGCCCGAACTACCCTTCGGTCCTAGCAACCGAACTTGGGGACTATTCCCCTCATACTACCTCTATCACATATAACATATCATGCCAACATATAACATATAATCGCATAATGTCAGACATATCTGGGGTGCCTGACCTACCCTTCGGTCCTAACAACCGAACTCTACTACTATCACATATAACATATCATGCCAGCATATAACATATCAGGTAGTAGCAAACATAGATGATATCACAGAGACAATCATCTAACATACAACTCCTACTAGTGGGCCGGCATTGTGGCCATAGACCCACCGCTACTGGAAGGTAACTCACCTCGTAGTAGTTGCTGATCTATGCGGGAATCCTCTAACTGCTGCCGCTGCTGCTCCGAAAATCCTCCGGCTATAATTCCTACAAAACACTTAGTCATACATTGCTAACTGTTCTTAGGGTAAAATGACCATTTTACCCCTGACCAAATCAAAGTCAAAGTTAACTTCTAGTTGACCTGAGTCGCCGAGTTGGCTCACCAAGTCGCCGAGTCCCTATCCTTCCATTTTTCCTTATACCCATCTCTACTCGTCGAGTTAGGCGATGACTCGACGAGTTTTCCTTCTAAATGAACATCGACTGAATCCTCATCCGACTCACCGAGTTGTATGAACAACTCACCAAATTCATCTTCAAATGATACACAGGTCTTGTCCTTGACTCATCGAGTTGTATGAACAACTCGTCGAGTTCATCTTCATCCTTAATAAGTTTGCCTTGGAATCGTAGAGTCTGCTCATGCACTCTCCGAGTCCCATGAACTACCAGAACAATGGCTTAGTCCAGAACGTTGGGTCACTCCCCAGGACCCCCTTAAATCCTTTCCACACTCAACTGGGTCCTTATGACCCTCAACTGATATGGAACAGAAACCTTGGACTCGTCGAGTCCAAGAATGGACTCGTCGAGTTGGTCACATCCTCTCACTAAATCTTCGATTTCTGATGTACAACCCTTGATCAAAAGATAGATCTATGCTTCTACAATTGATCTAGCACGTAAAGTTACAACCTTTACGTGCTTGCATGAGACTTTGAGCTCAAAAGGTCCTAAAACAATCTCTTACAATGTATGGGGCCTTCTTTGAGTGTAAGAGCCACTCCTTTCTACCTTGAAACCCCTCTAAGGGCCTAGATCTGAAACATCAACCCCTAACCATGCTTGCAATCATGGTTGGTGACCAAAATGGCTTAGAAAAGCCCTAAAACTCCAAAAAAATGGGATCTATCAAAAGAACAAACAAGGTATAGACTTTATACCTTCTGTAGACTTCAAATGATGCTCAAAATCAGATCCTTCTAGCCTCCTCTTGATCCTTCAAGCTTTTCCTTCCTTCCTTGGGTCACAAAAGCACCAAAATCATTCCAAAGACCTTATATTCCTTCAATAACGGCTAGGGTTTGCTATGGCGGTCTTCTGGGAGGAAATGGGACGAAGGAGGTTGAGTTAAGGTGTTTAAATACGGTGCAAACCCTCGGGTTAGGGTTTTTGTCCAGACAGGGCCTACTCGCCGAGTCCGGGACCCGAATCGTCGAGTCCACTGCTTAAACCCCACGTCTCATCCTGCTTCTACTTGGCGAGTTGGTCCTTCAACTCGCCGAGTCCAAGGCCAAAATGCAAAAATATTAATAAAAGAATACGTACCAAGAACCAGGTGCTACATTAGGGTTCCAATTTTTGCAAAATTCGGATCCAATTTAGGAAGTTTTTTCTCCCTAATTCTTCTACCATTCTACTCTATTTCATCCACTGAACAAACCCTGAACTTGGATTTAGTTAATATGGCGTTGAAATAGGAGCGAATTGAGCTTATCTCATCACAGTCACGACGCCATGACGAGCTCATCGTGGTCCTCGTCGTGGTGTCTGGAATCACAGTTTTTCTTCTTCTTTTTCGATTATAATAATGCATATGGTTTGTTTGGTTGTTCTTTTGTGGATATTATGCAGAAATGACTAGCAAGATTAGAAGAAGTCAACCCGTTACTCACGATTTTCCATGGTATTCTTTTCCACGAGATGTTGCACCCGAGACACGTGTGTGATGGGCTGCTAAGATTGATTTACTCAAGAAAAGGAAGTTGCATGTTCCAGTTGAGGTTGATTGGCACTGGATTGGAAGTTTGGGTTTGATGGAAGCTATGGAGCCTTATCTTGACAAGGTATTCAATGGAGTTCAAGGGCAGTTTATGTGTTTGGGATGGAGGCGAATTTTTTATATTCAAGAGGTGGTTTACAAAGAGGTGGTGTATGAATTTCTTGCCACAGTATCTTTTGCAAGAAAAGATGGAATTTATGCGGATAATAATCTTATTTTTTGCCTTGGAGGGGAAAGGAGTTCCTTAAGCCTAGCTGATTTTGCACTACGGATTGGTATCTACCTTCCAACTGAAGTCCATACACCTTTATACCAACAATTTATAGCAGCCTCCATTAGCAACATCGAAGGGTTCAAGGCAGAGGACCATTGGCATTATATTGCTAATGGGTTTACCACAAGGGTATCCGATCGCCAATTCACCGCATTTTACACCGCCTGATCACTAATACCATTAATGAACGTCAGGAGGGGGATAAATGTCCTACTGTGGATGTTTTCTTTTTATGGGTTCTCACCTCAACTGAGGTTTATGCTGATTTACCTTTTCACTTGGCTGATTTCCTTACAGTTCGGGCAGCTAAGGACAGGCGTGGGTCCCCGCTTAATGGCGGTATGTGGATTACCCAACTCGCACAATCTTTTGGTATTTTTGAGAAGTGGGAGGCTTCTTTGCTTACAGTTAAACCTCAAAAGACCTTTTCCACTCTTCTTTATAAGAGGGCTCAGATTGTTGTTGGTCATGGAATGGTTGGTTTTAGCATTCCTGACGATACTCCACGACACCATGTTCCAATCCGTGGAAGGCAACGGGGAAATGAAGCCGAAGCAGGTGAGCCAGTGATACCGGGAGAAGATGAGATGCCCATGGATCCTTACAGTATGGCAAGGAGACGATATAAGGACTATATGTCTAGTGCAACAAATTACACCAACATGAGCCTAGATCATTTAATGAGCTCTATGTGTGTATCTCGTCCGGAGCATTTTCCTTCTGCGTACCCACATGTTCCAACGTGGGGCGACATTTGGCGAGAGCAGTTGGGTGGAGCTGGAGGCAGTGGTGGTGGAGCTAGTGATGAGGCAGAAGATTGAGTTCTTATCCTTTTCTTTGGTTTTATTTTGTCTTGTTCTAAACTAGTTTTTTTATTATGGTTTTCTTTTGTTTGCTTTATGTCTTGTTACAAATTTATTTTGTATGGTTTGGTTGTTTGGATATTTTTCCTACTTTTATTACCATTTCCTTTATCCTAGTTTTAGGTCATATGTAAGAGTCAAGTAAGGGTATGTTTGGAACAAGAAAGTTCGTTAGAGTAAAGGTATAAGAGAACGTCGATTGAAGCGTGGTTTGAGAGCATTTTTCGTGGTCTAATTGAGTCATAGAGTGAAAGGGTCGTGTCCTACAGTTGTATGGAAGAGATGGTGTCATTTTAGTTCAAGTTGCAGCTCTTTTCGCCCTTCGAATTTCACTTTTCAACACCACCACGACGCGGTATCTGACACCACGACGTGGTGTCGCAATTTTCAAAACCAAGAAGTGTTCTGTTTGGTCTACCACGATGTGGTGCTTTTCGAATCAGTTTTCCGAACCTACTCTCGTATTTCCAGTAGTCTCCGTAATGTGGGTAGCATCATACTCATTTTCATGGTAGGGATGAGTTGTTCCCATGCCTTTGAATTTTCTTTTCGCGCTTTAATGAAGAATTCTACCGATTACCACAAGGAGGCCGCTATTCTTTCAACTTTTGTGCCCACACGTTCCAATGAGTTAGAAGTCTTTTCCATGAGTCAAGTCACATCTTCTATCCCAGGGGAGTTTGTTCCTTTTTCTCCCTCTTTTTAAGTTTATATTTTGCATACCATGCAATGGGGGCATTGCATGAAATAAGTGTGGGGTAGGGGGTATTTAACATAAGGAAAAGCATTTGATTTTTTTTAGATTTTAGTTCTTAATATGCTAATTCAGGAAACTTAGCCAATTAAAACTTTTGCTAGTATAGTATTAGATGATCCGATGAGAGCCCAAATGTTTACTTGAGCCAACACATATTATAGTGTATTTGTGGCTTCCTATTTTCTAGTGAACATCATGAAGTATAAAAGGTAATCTGGTAGCTTATATGGCATAACATGTTTTGCAGCCTAAACCTGAAATCTATCCAGGAAAGCTTAGGTAGTCATTGCACTTAGACTAATATATTACCTAATAAAGGTTGAAGCTAAGCTCCTTGCTTAAATATGTAGGATTTCAGAGAAAAAAAAAGTGAGAATACATGTAAAAAAAGAGAGAGAGAAATTACTAAAGAGTTAAAGAAGTTTGGAGTTTTTAAAATGTGAAGATCAAAGGAACATAATTTCTGAAGAAATCAAAAATTGAAGATACCAAAAAATCAAAAAAATAAGGTGGTGAATTCATGTATATCAAAGATCAAATATACAACAAAGTGAAGAATTCAAAAGAAAAAAAAGAAGAAGAAAAAAGAAAAGAGCTCTATTATGGTATCAAAGTTGTAATTTCTAGAATTTATGTATGCTTGGTTGTTTAGCCAAAAACAACTTGAGGGTAAGCAAGATTTCTGAGGATTGATTCGGAGGGTTGCAAAAATGAATGTCGTATAAGTTAAGGGGTGAAGATTCATAGAGATTGTGAGTATTTACGAATGAGAAGTTCTTAGGAATTTTAGACACAATTACATGCATTGAGATCTTAGGATAATGGATGGGTTTGAAATGGATTGTTTTGTATCTTGCTGGTAAAATTCTAAATAAATTTGCTTGGGGGCAAGCAAATAATAAGTGTGGGGTATTTTGATATGTGCATATTTATACAGATATTTATACAACATATCCTGATATTATAATTACTTTTATGCCCTTATTAGAACAAAAGATACTTAATTTCCTATGAATCATGTTGTAGGTATTAAAAGACTTGTTTGGAGCAAAAAGGAAGCTGGAAGCTGGATTAAGGAAGCTTGGAGTTGAAAGTTTGGACTAGCGCTCTAAAATAAAGGAAAATATGCCCAACACATCGTGGTAATATCTGCCACAATGTGGTGTCTTGAAGATTCCCGATCATATTCGATGACTTGTAGAATACGAGATAAACACAATCACCACGACATGGTGCCCTACTTTTGGGAGAAGTATAAATATCTCACATAAACCTTCGAATGGGAACTTTTGGCTCTAGAGAATTCGAAGTCTTTCAAGGCAAGGGCACTAGAATTAAGCATTGGAAGCAAGGAATTCAATCACAATCATTAGAAGGAGGAGATCAAAGGCAACTAAACTCTACTTTTCGATTTTTCATTAGGAATAGCTATGTCTTTACTTTTGAATCTTGATTTTATG